CATCTCACACTTTCATCATTCTACATTGGTTTGGGGCAACTTTTTATGGGTTTCTTTTTTTTCACCACTTATCAGATGTTCCTAAGATAAGAGTCTAAATGGCAAAAATAAATTGCTCTCATAAACTCCTGACACAAAATATTTGCACACAGGGGAATTACCCAGTTTAATGTCTTATTACTGTGATTTTTTGAAGGAAATACAAGCTAAAATCCTGTGGTTTTCTTCTTTTTTTGGATCATTCATGCAAGGTGGATGTTGTGTACTGTGACATTCCTGCAGCAGCTGTTTTCATGGAAGAGGGAGCTCTGCAATGTGACAGGACAGGTCCCTCTGAGCCAGGGGGAGACACTGTCGGTGAGAGGCCACCCAAAGCAAGGTTTGGAAGCAAGTTTAGAGTGCAGGGGTGAATTTCTCAGCGTTTATTTTCTGCCATTGGGCAGCACAACACGCAGTTCCCACAGTGCTGAGTAAAAACAGTCTGCAGTGAAGGAAGGCTTCTGTGGTACAGCTTGGCAGCATCATTGCAAAAATCACTTCTGGATGTGCCTTTTCCAAGGAGAAGGTGTTCTTGCTCTGTTAAAAAGTGTCTGATTTCCATTCTGAAATTCTGGTTATGTTGAGGTTTTGAGGGGGCAGGGCTGTGGTGTTTGATTTCTCTTGTCTTTTTTGTATTGGAGGAGGCATTTGAATTTTTTTCCCTATTCCTTCCCCCCATTTTTTTTTAATTAAGATTTGCATTTGTGTACCATGCAAGCCTGTGGGCAGGTACTGGCTCAGGCAAAACCTGCTCTGTGCTGAGCCACGAGGATGGAGGCTCACAGCTGACCATTACTGACCAGTGACCCTCATGGACCTGCTGGGTGAGCCCAGAGGAGTGTGATGAAGATATTGCCAGGGCTGGAGCACCTCAGCCAGGCTGAGACAGTTTGGGTTGTTCAGCATGGAGAAGACTCTGCAGAGACCTTGGAGCCCCCTCCAGTACCTAAAGGGGGCTCCAGGAGAGCTGGAGAGGGACCTAGCACACAGTCATGGAGTGACAGGAGAAGGGGAGTGCTTTTAAACTAAAAGAGAGTCGCTTCAGAGTAAATATTGGGAAGAAATTCTTGACTGTGAGGGTGGTGAGGCACAGTTTCCCCAGAATTGTGGATGCCCCATCCCTGGAAATGTTCAAAGCCAGGTCGGATGAGGCTTGGAGCAACCTGGTCTAGTGGAATCCTGCCCAGGGATGTGAGATTTAAGGTTCCTTCCAACCCAAACCATCCTGTGATTCTGTGATTGATTTTCCTGCTGGAAGACCATTACACTTATGACTTGGGATAATAGTTACAGGATATCCCTGCAGGTGTTTTATTAGAAAGGTATTTACATGGAATTAGCACCTTTGGAGGAGGTGGGAGAGTTGACATTACCAGATAAACCAGACTTTTTGGCAACAGCAGGTTATGCCTAAGCCCCTGCCTCCAGAGCAGCAATCCCTTAACAATTGTTCGCAAAATGGAACCAAAAAAATATCAGCAGTGGATTTATTCAGAAACGAGTATTTTGTCTTTTGTGTTGAATGAATGCCTTGGGACCAAAATGCCATTTGTTCGTGCCCGTGGGTGTTGCTGGGGAGCTGATGTGCTGTGAATTCCCGGGCCCTTCCATGTGCTGGCTCCTGATGTCTTGGGGACCAGCTCCTTGTTTTATTTATCCCCCACCGGCTTTGGTGTTTCAGCCTGATTTGCTGCTAATGGGAACAGTCTGTGCCAACACATCTCTGGTTTACCCAGAGCCCTGCCCTTTGATACCAGCCAAGCCCAGAATGTCCAAAAAGGCAGCACCTCTGAACTCTCCTACTTTTTTATTGGAATTCTGACTTCTTTTTTGTCTCTGCTGACCAAAAAAAATTGGGGACTATTGTATGCAGGTGAACCCAATGGGAAGGAATGACGATGTCTGACTCAATTCAGAAGGCTGAACGATTTCTTTATTATAACTATGCTAAAATACATTAAGATACTATATAAAGGAAGATACTAAAACTATATACTACTTTCTCTAACACAACTTGTGACCCTGTTCTAGAGCCCAGCCCCAGGTGGGTTGGATTGGCCATCAGGCTCAAACAATCCTCACCAGAATCCAACCAAGCACTCACCCCAGGTAAACAATTCTCCAAACACATTCCACATGGGAAAACAAGGAGCAGAAATAGAAATTGTTTTCTCTTTCTTCTCTCTGTGCACTCTATGAAAGGTCCACACGGCTGCAGTGCCTGCTCCCAAAGGGTCGGACGCAGAGCCCTGCGCTCCTCCCGGCGCTCCGGGGGCAGCGGCGGGCTGGCCGGGCCCGCGGCGCTCGGCCCGGCGGAGCAGCGCTCCTGCGAGTTCACCTGGGGTGATTCCTCTGCAAAGAGCCCCGCACGGTCTTACAAGCACCGCGTGCAGTTGAGACGGCTTCGGAGAGTGGGTCTGGCGCCTTGGCTGCTGCCTTTGAAATGCTGAATGTTGTTGGAGGATCCTCCAAATCAAGGGGGAATGAATATGAATACAATGATATGAAAATTCTGGGGGGTTGCTTTCCTTTGTTCCAATGTCGTGGCTAAAACTTAGAAATGTGGCGTGTATCAAAGTTGCTGGAAAGCATTTTAAGTAGCGGGCCAAACTGATACAACAGAGAACAATCGTAAATTTTTTAAGTTTTCAATTTCCGAGGGTTGGTTTTATAAAAATACATGAGGTTTTTAAGTATAGTTACTGAGACAGAAGAAGTCGTGCTTCTCTTAGTGTCTCATGTAAATATTTTTGCAGCAGTCTGTTGTTGCAGCTCCTAGAAAGCCGGATTCAAGGCTGGGGGCAGTTTGTGTTTCTTGGATGTTTTGTTTTGCAGCTCCTTTTTCTAGGCCGGGCTCGGAGTGGAGGCGGCCGCAGGAATGAGTGAGTGGCCATTCCCACCATCCCAGCTGAACCCAGGCTCCAGCTGGGCTTCAGGATCGGTTTTGGGTTTGCTCAGCTCCAAGGGGCTGAATTATTTTTTAGCAGTAGGAAGGAGCAGAAGAACCTTGTTTCCTGCTGAGGATGAGCAGGGACACCGTTTGTCCTGCTCCTGGAGGATGCCTTAGGGAAGGAATAAGGATTTCTGTATTTCACGGCTCCAGCTTATTTTGTTCCGTTTTTCATGGGGGAGATAAACTAACAAAGCATTAAATAAAACTGAAGCTCAGCTCTGAGCAGCCTTTTTTAAAGCTCTCTTGGGTCAGGTTTTAGGTTGGTCTGCATGAGAGTGGATAACCAGACACCATCCAGCCCACATGGGAGAGTTTTAGCTGCTTCATAGCTAAAAGAATGTTTCGTGAGTGCACTTACACTTGTGTGAAGTGGCAGTGTCTCTGTGTAACCAAAGCGTTCCGTGTAATCAAAGAATTCTGTTTTGATCAAACTTACATTCCTTTTGACTGACAAAACCTGAAGAGGGGAATGTGAAAAATGCCAGTCACTTGTTTTAAAATTTTAAAATTTTAATAGTAATAAAATAGTTATAAAAATAGTAATAAAAATTAGAGCAATAAGAATTTGAACAATCAGAGGACAATAAAGGACAATAAAAGGCAAAGAATTACTCATGTCCGGGTGCTTTGCTATGCCCCAAAGCACACCTTGCTAACAAAGGATTAACTCACAAAAGCAATAGCCTGTTGCATATTCACATATTCAAAAATTCTTTTCAAACAAAGGATTTCTTCTGCTTAATTTCAACTCCCCCCCTCATCTTGTAAATCAATCGTGTTGGTTCCCCAAGGAGGCAATAATTCTTCTCTTAGAATCATAGTGTCTTGTTGCTGTTATCTCTATGCAAAGATTTTCTTAATTATCTTATCCATTCCTTGAGCTAGTTGCAAAAAGTATCTTACATCACATAGTTTCTATTTTAATATTATGCTATAGCCTAAAACTATAGTTACCACATTACTAAGATTAATACAGCATAACTTTCTAACATGACACATATAATATTCATTGTAACATTTGCGAAAAGCCAATCATAAAATATGCATTTTTCACAGAGAACAAAAAAAAAGTCCTCCTTATGCCTTAGGCTCAGGAAGAAACATCTCCTCCAGGAGCAGGTGCTTCCATGTCCTGCTGCCCACTCACATTCCCCTGTGATGAAGCCATGAAATCAGCTGCAGATCTCCCAGGCTGCAGGGGCAGCCCTGGCCCGATTAACCCTGCGTGGGCTCCCATGCCTCGGGGTGCAGGGCTGGGACTGGAAGGCCTGAGAGGGCACCAGGAGCTTGGCCTTGGAGGCCGTGCCATGGAGGAGCAGGGCCCTGGGAGCCTGGCACTGCCACGCTTCCCAAAGGTGGGCACAGAAAGCAAACCCTGCAGCGAGAGCTCCGGTTCCACTGAGCTCCTGTGGGGCTTGTCTGGGAAAGGAGACTTGCAACGTGTCGCAGATACTGCCGTTATTTGGGGTGGTGAGAAAAGCTGCTCCTCCTGCAGGAGCTGCTGTGTGCAAGCCTGCTCTGGACTTCTCTAGTCAGGGCTGGGAAAGCAAGGCTGCTGAACCTGGGCAGATGCAGCGGGAGCTGGAGAGGCTTTGACTCTGCAGTCCCAGTTGCAGCAGCTGCTCAGGGCAGGCTGGTGCTGCCTGGGTCTGGCCATGGAGAATGGTTCACTCAGCAGGGGTCTGTGGTCTGTCCTCTGCATGGTGCTCCTCAGAGCCTCAGGGGTTGAGATCTGACTTTTCCAGTGCTCCCTAATCAAGGAATGCTGTGAGAGATACTCCAGGTTTTAAATCCCACTTTCTTTAGGAGCCTCCTGCAAACACATCTGTCTCGGGCAGATCCCACCTGGATTTTTATCACTGATACAAATTATCCATCCTAGTCAGACAGCAAAATGCAAGAAAGTCCATTGACAAATGGAGTTAAGCTGTCAAATTCCTCACCAAACTGCTGCACAGGGATCAAACATAATTGTTTTTCTCAAACATTGTTTTCTCTTCTTTTGTAGGAATCTGAGTTTCTCTGCCTGGAGTTTGATGAGGCCAAGTTGAGCCAGATGCTGAAGAAACTGTCAGAAATAGAGGAGAGTATGACTTTGTTGACTCAGACTACTTAATCAAATAAAGAGATGGCAACTTACAGAAAATGACCCTTGGTAGGTTTTCGTAAATCCTATTTCAGCACATAGAATAGGGGGTGCTGGTTAAATCCTGATTATAGCCCCAGGAATGGGCTAAATCATCCTGTGAAGCTTTCTCATCCCCTCCTCCCATCCTCTTTTCCAAGACAGCAGCAACACTGTTTCCACAAAGCTTTGCATAATCAGGCCTTGGGGTGTAGTGCAGCTTTCCTCTTTATCTCCTCAGTCACTTCTGGGGTCTTCCAGATGCTGTGGATGCTGGGCTGGATGAGCAGCAGAGGTAAATTGGCCAGTTGTGGCAGAGAGGAAACAGGCAGATTAGGGGGAACTCGTATTTATGCTTCCAAACCTTGGACTTTTATAGGACAAAGCCAGCTCTGTGAGCTCTGTCTGCTTGAAGCCCAGGAAAGCAGATGGAGTGAGGGAGCTCAGGGAGCAGAGGCACAAACACCCCTCTCTGTAGCTGTGAGCCCCGTGCTGCTGAGGATTCAGTGGTTCCCCAGGGCTGCCCAGCCTGGCTGCAGGAGCCAGGGGACAGTCGGGGAGCATCTCCTGGGCTGGTTTCCAAAAGGAGCAGTCCTGCACGTGCAGGGCACCTGATCCAGCTCTTCAAAGCCACCTCTGATCCCCAAAGACCATCCAGCCTCAGCACCTTCTGCCTCTTGGGCTGCAGTGGTGTAGCCCTGGCACGGAGCTGCACGCCGTGTCTGAGGGGCCAGTGCTTTATCAGAGCTGGACTTGGCTGCTCTTAGTCCTGTGTTTCATGGCTTGGTTTGACCTGAGAAAGCCTCAGATGGAGCCCAGGGTTTCTAAGTGGCTCAGAATGTGGGTAAAGGAAAATGCCCTTGGCAGGCTGAGGCCTTACCACTGAGACACTGTGTGAGTGAAGAAATCTGCTGGAGGCAGGTCAGGGGCACAGGATCTGCACTGCTGCATGGCTCCTGGCTGTTGCAGTGCCCACATCTGTGCTGGCACAGCCAGCTGCAGAGCAGCTGCTGCCCCTGCGCTGCCAGAGGCTCCCAGCAGAGTTTCAGTTCCCCTGTCCCTTGCCAGCCTGCTCACAGCAGGATGTCCCACCACACTGAAGTGTCAGCAGGAGCTGAGCCTGAGCAGGCCAGCACTTGCACAGGGCAGAGTAAGGATCTCCTCCCAGCAGAGCTCTTCCATAAAAAGGTGACAGTCCTGGCCCCTGGTTTGCTCTGTCACTTGCCTGGAGGGTCTGTACACACCTTTGGTTGGAGGCTACATTGCTTATTGCCATTTGATATTTGCTTCATAAGCAGCCTCCTCCTGAGCTAAAATTACATGGAGAGCTTGTACCAATATAGAGATGACAACATAAAATGTTCTCGTGCCATAACTAAAGCACTCCTCATCGCTTCTCCTTGAGAATTTATTGCTTGTGGAGCTGCCAGATTGCACTTGGGCACGAAATCTCTTCAGAGCAAGGGAAGGGCACCTTTTCCCATCTGCCTGGTCAGAAGGGGAAACATCCCTCCAGCCAATTTGTGTCCCTGCACAGGGAATTACCATTTCCTTTGCCGTGCCTGTCACACTGCTGCCTTGTCTCTTACAGCCTCCGGGTTCTGCCCTCTCCTCTCGTGGAGCCCCCAGCACTTCTGTTCCCCAGCTGCCTTCAGCTGATCCTTGTCAGAGAGGAGCCGGGCTGTAACCACTGCTGCTCCTCCTGCTGCTCCCTGAGTCACTGCTGCAGCAGCGCTGTGGAATGAGTGCTTTGTGATTCTCTGAGCTCTCCGTGTCCTTTTTCAACTAAGTTCATTCAAGTGCTTTCTGTGTTTTAGGACATATTTAAAAAAAAAATCAAGGTCAGGGAAGGATCATGATCTTAAGTAGCTTGCACTGTGTCAAACATACTTATTGTTTTATTTTAACATGGTCAGAGGATAGGAAAATGTGCTATAAATGGAAATTAAAGAGAAACAAACTGGGAACAGATGTCAGGAAGTATTATTTCATGCAAAGAATAATAAATATGTGGAATGGCTAACAAGGCAAGGAGGCTGAGGCAAAAAGTCTAGGGGACATTTAAGAAATAATTGGATACTTTCTTATGGGTGGATGCTTCTCTCTTCCTAATCTTCCCTCCTCTGGATACCTAACCATCTTCATTTTCTTCTCGGTGGATCTTTCTAAACTACTGTGCAAAACAAAACAAAAAACAAACAAACAAACAAAAAAAAATCCACTGGGTGGGTTGAGGACCACACTGCTCAGTCCTTGGTAGTCACTGGGCAGCAAAATTCTTTCTGTGTCACAGGGACATTTCTCGCTTTCTCAGGATTTTTCATAGGGGTGCATAGAGGAAAGAAAGAAAACAATTTCTATTTCTGCTCCTTGTTTTCCCATGTGGAATGTGTTTGGAGAATTGTTTCCCTGGGGTGATGACTTGATTGGATTCAGGTGAGGATTGTTTGAGCCTGATGGCAAATCCAACCCACCTGGGGCTGCACTCTCAGAGAGGGTCACAAGGTGTGTTAGAGAAAGTAGTATATAGTTTTAGTATCTTCCTTTATATAGTATCTTAATGTATTTTAGCATGGTTGTAATAAAGAAATCGTTCAGCCTTCTGAACTGGAGTCAGACACCATAATTTCTTCCCATTGGGTTGGCATTTACAATATTCCTGCTTCACCGAGTTGGATGTGGCAGGGATGGGATGCTGTGCTTGCCAATCCTCAGCTGCTGCTGGGACACAAGGACAGGTTTGCTCCTCGGCAGGGCTGTGCCTTCCTGCTGAGGTGGTTTCTGTGTGTGTACATCCATCTGCCTCAGCTCGGTGTTTGAGCCTGGTGGCCACTTCTGGCTGAGCTCCCCCAAAGCCCAGATTAAACCAGGCTCATGCTGTATGCATGGCCAGGCAACTCCTGCAGGGGCTGGGGCCAGCGTGGCCACTGGAATCCTGCATGGGTCCAGCTGAGCAGGCACCCAGCACAGCCCTGTAGGCCACGGGGGCCTCATCCAGCTTTGGAGCCCACTGTGGTTCCTGCCATGGCCCCAGCTCCTGTGCCCATGCTAAGCCAGGCCAGCAGTGTGGCACCAGGGCCATCACCTCCTCCTCCTCCTCCTCCTCTTCCTCCTTCCTTCAGGGAAGCAGGCAGGCACTTCACAGGAGCAGCCCAGCACGGCCAGAGGAGGAGAGGGAGGGAGAAGCAGCAGGAAGAAGGGCTGAAGGAGGGAACCCCAGCCGAGGGAGGCTTTCCTGCCCAGGGGACACAACTCCTGCCACACTCCGGTGTCCCTAGGCTTAGGAAGCTGTCCCTGCAGCAGCAGCACAAGCAGTGCCCACGTTTCCCCACAGCCTTTATCTTCCTTTCCATGTCACCTTTTGCTGGGCCGAAATGCCCCGCAGGTTATTCCTGTTTTCTGGGCATTGCTCCAAGCTGCAGCTCATCATCCAGGAGCTCCCTGAGATGTCTGGGTGCTGCCACCTTCAATCACACATTGCGCTGCTGGCGAGCCCCACACTCCTCTCTGCTTGCCAAGGCCATTGCTCTAAGGGAAATTTCCTTTTGTCTTGGTCTGCGTGTGCCCAGAACTGCTAAGGTTTTAAAGTGTTCTTCTAGGATATCTAAGATATTCTAGGCACACCATGTTTTTCCAAATCTAAGCCAAGCAAGTGCTGTATTTCATAATGTTTTGGGCCATGGAAAGCAGCAGATGATTATATACTTATTTTATGTTGGTGTTGATTTACTTTCTGATTATTCAGGTTGTTTAGTCTCATTTTATCTTACTTTTTTTTAATTTTTTTTTCTTACAGGTCCTTTCTCAAGTGCAAATAACAGTGTGTATGCTCTCATTGCGTTTTACACAATGGGAAGGATCTTGGAGGAGCCCATATCTCCACATCTTACTGTGCTTGGACTTTTTAATAAACTGATTGATATATTGATTTTCTTTTCTGTGTGTCAATTCTTTGCTACTTATTGATAAAACAAATTGCTCACCATTTTTCTGAGGACATTTCCTGGCCATTTGTAGGTGCGTAAATATCTGAGGAGTTTTACCCCAAGGCTCACACTGGCCATAGATTGCTCACAGAAATGTTTTCTTCTCCTTCTGGGGAGTTTCAACAGTTTATTCATTCATTCCAAATATTTATGAAGAGGTCCTCAGTGCTGGGGACAGAGGGAGCCTTTTGAATAAGGGGAATGCAGTGGTCCTGTAGCAGCAGCCACTGATGACTTTTTAATGTGCTGTGTTTCATGTGGCTTGAGACTGGAAAAACAGGCGAGGGCTCCTTGCCTTGAAGCTGGGCCTGTTAAAATCCTCCTCAAAAATGATTCCCAAATCCCAGGGAAGAGTGGCTGGGGGTGTCATTTAATGCAATGTGGGGGCTAGAGCTGCGCCCCTGGCTCTGCCTCACCATGCTGGGGGTAAAGATGCCAGCACAGGGGGACAGGCACCTCTGAACCAGTGCCACTTGGGAAGTGTTATCTTGAGATATCACCTGAGCTTTGTGTCCGAGCACAAAATTGTGGGTGGTGCTGTGGAGCTTCCCTCCGAATGTGATGGGGGCTGACCAACCCCAAGCTCAAGTCCCCAAAGGCTTTGCCCTTCCTCCTTCCTTTTAGTGGCAGGAAGGCAGATCTTGCAGTGCAAGAGTTCGCAGGAAAACAGGTTTGAAGGCGTGTCAGGGGTGGGGATCCCGCCTGGGGGTTTTCACCCTGGGGCCTTTGCAGGGTTATTGCAGCAATGGGAGGTCCCTGAAATGCAGAGCTGTCAGGGGGCATTGTCAGCAAGGAGGTACAAGAGAGATTTCCCCAAAGATGTTTTCCTGTTCCTTATTTTCTCTGCACACAGGTGACATGGTACTTGCATTTTAATTGCCTTAGTGGGCAGCAGCACTGCAACTCCAGCACTCAGCCATTATTAGCTCTTGTAATGGGATGGTATTGGAGAATACATAAAAACAGGTAATTGCATAAATGGCATTTTTGGATGCCAGTGAGTGCCTCAGACCCTCCAGGAGTGACATTTTACAGGAGTGGATGGGAGAAAAAGAGCAATCACAGCACAAAACCCAAATCCATAGTGTTTCTGAGAGGAGTCTGGGAGGCAACAATAATACCCTGAGTTTTCTGGCCAGTTGGCAGCCCTGGCTGAACACAGCTCTACCTGGAAACTATACAGTGCATTTCAGTAATTAGTGGCATTTTTCCTGCCTGGCAAATCAAACCTCGGAGGGCATTAGAGCCTTCGTGGCGTCTCTGCTCTTGGCAGCAAAAGGGACAAATCAGCAAAGGCACCTCAGGAGTGGATGGGTGGCTCAGGCAGAGGGAGAGAGAGAGAAAGAAAGAGAGAAAGAGAGAAAGAGAGAAAGAGAGAAAGAGAGAAAGAGAGAAAGAGAGAGAGGTTTCTGCTTGATCCCAGCCACCTGCGTGTGGCTCAGGGCTCTCCCTGCACTCACAGAACGCAGCAGCCACCTCACCACCCTCTGAAAAACATGCAGTGGCCTCCTCCAGGCATCTCCCCAAAATAAACTCACTCCTGCACGACCTCAGAACAAATTGCATTCTTCTGTGGCCGAGGAACAAGGTGTGTAGAGTCAATCCCCTGCTCCAAGAGCCTGTGAGGCAATGGCATGCAGAGGTACAAGGTTAAAAATATGCCTCTAGAACTAGTGGCTGGGAACTGTAAATACCTTCCAGGCAGTCCTTAGGCACATCAGGAGATGAGCAAGCAAAGCAACTGGAATTTATAAACTTGAATAATTAATTATTCTTTGCAAGGAGAACAAACATTCCCATGTGCCAGCTCTCTTAGAGCCTTTGACAACTGGGCTCCTTTCTGTAAATAATGTTATGTAAGTTTATACATTTCAGTTAGTGCTTGTTCTAGCCTCTTCACAGCCCAAGGATGTTTTCACTCCAGTTTATTATTTCAGCTGTGGACAGATCATTTTGCCCTGGTGCATCTATAATGGGATTTAAATTAAGATGCTTGCAAGCAGTGGAACAGTAGTGAAATAGTGTCTGGAAAACATTGGTACATACCCAGGGAGAATGAAAAAAATAAATTAGCTTTACACTGCAGCACTGGGCAAAGTGTCTGCACCCTTCCCTGCTGGGCAGGACAGGATTCCTCTGTCTGAAGATAAAAGCTGTGAAGGACCAGTGCTGGACCCCAGCTGCATTGCAGGGCTGCTGGAGACATGGTGTAATGGCCATGGGTGCTTTTATTGCAGAGCACGGGAGCACCTTTGAGTCATCCAGCAGCCCTGGAACTGCAGCGTGCTGCAGTCAGAGCTGGCTGAAATGCTTAACCCCAGCGGCTTAATCTCCAGCCATTCCAAATTAGTACAGCTCCATTAACTCCAGAGGACTATTTACATGGGGGAGGTTAAATGTGTACAGCATCAGACACAAAACCTGCTGTGATTCTGTACATGGGGCAGTGCTTTGCTGATTTACAAGGCTAGATCTCATCTCTGCTGGTTTCTGAAGTTTTATTTTTTTGTAGTGTCAGGGGCATTTCTCCATCAAATAGTATAGGGAAAACCCTTCATCTACTTCAGTTATGTTGCTGATCCAAATCCCTAATGCAGGAGATATCTTCCCTCCATGTCATTCTTCAGTAACTTGTGGCTGTGAGGTTGGATATTAAAACTTCATATGTGGACTATTTCATTCCTCTTTGTCCTGATTTCTATTTTTGAATTATCGTTTATTATATTATTTATTATCCGCAGATCCCACAATAACAGGAGAAGAGCTTTGTGATCTCCTCCTTTGACTATTGTAATTCTGATGTGCCACATCCTGTACCCTGGATGGGCTGGGCAGGAACAGTGTGTCTAAGTCAGCACTGAGGCATGGTGAATAGCCCGTGGCCTCTGGGGTGGCTTTTAGGAGCACAAATCCACCTGAATGGTTACAGGAGAACAATGGCAGCTCTTGGGGGAAACCAGGTGAGTCATGAGCACCTGGTGGAAGGGATGGTGCAGGACAGGGAGCTGGGAGCGACGCCCCAGGGTGCTGGACAGGTCCCTGCACCCAGGGCTTGTAACTGCTCTCCTGAGAGAGCCCAGAGAGCTGGCACAAATCCCCTCCTGGACAGAGCCTCAGGCGTGCCTCGGAGGCTGCTCCAAACAGCCCAGGCAGGTCCCACCCCAACGCTGCCACCGTTTAAAGGAGCCCAAGCACTCTCTTCACCCTGGTTTTGGTGACCCTTCCACTCCTGCCACCCAAAGAAGGAGCCCTCAGCCAGGAGCTCCAGCCCCAGGCCTGGTGGCAAAACACTCAGTGCCTCTGCCTCTGGTGTGCAGCTCCCACGGGCCGAGCAGGATTTCACTGTGGCAGCAGCTGTGCCCAAAGCTGAGAGCTTTGCCCAGGGTTGGGAGTGTTTTGGAAAACCTCCTGCACATGGTGTTGGCACAGCTTCCTTTGCCACCCAGAATCAGCCAGCCTGGAAGCTAGCACCCTCCCAGGACTGGTTTTCACTGGAGTTGAAGTTGGCACTGTGACAGTCCAAGGGAATCTCATCCAAGATGTGCCTGAAATCAAGATGGTTTGGAAAAATTTCAGTGACATGTGAGGACTGGCAGTTTTCCCTCATCTGGGATTTTGCTGGTGCTTAAAACTGCATCTGCTAAAAAGTAAAAGCCAAGCAGAAGGGGTTTAGCTGAAGTGGGTCCAGTACACTTTTTCCTAGGTGTAAACAAAGGAGGAAAGTGACTTTGACTCACCTTTGAAGAGTCTTGGCAGTTTGAAGAGTCTTCTTCAGTTCTGCAGCTCTTCAGGTCTTGCTGCAAAATGCAGTGGGATGCCTCTGAACAGAGGTAAGGAGAGGTGCAAGGAGCTCATGTTTCTGGGACACAAAGATGGTTTGTATAGAGCAGGTGTCTTTTTTGTTTGTTGCAAAATAATTATTGTCCAGTTTCTGCTACTATAGAAATTGAGTTTCAAGTGGATTCTTCTCCATCCTCTTGCATCCTGCACTCTGCACTGCTGTGCCTGCCTTTTGTCTGTGAGGAAAAGGAGCCCCACAAGGAGGCAAAGAGTGCTGGTCACTGCAGCCCGTGTCTGATAAAGGCAGGGACGTCCTTCCAGAGCAGGAAAACCGATTAGAATCCAAGCAGCTCAGGAGTAATTATTCTTGGCAAATGCGAATCAATACCAGCACAGTGCAGCTCTGCCCACAGCTTGCAAATGGCAGCACACAACTCAACAGGGGCAACTTCCTTTGCACAGTCTCTGTGCTGTCCTGCCGGGCCTGCAGCAGCAAAGCTGCAGTGCTCCAGAGGGAAAAAGTGTTCTGAAGCACATGTGCCAATCTCTTCGACTTGAGTGGTTTTGCCAGAGCTGAACCTGCCAGGCACAGCTCCCCATCTCACCAAGGTACAAAAGCAAAGGCAAGGGGAGCAGAAGACCTCTGCAGCACTCGCTGTGCTGGCTGGCCTGGGTGTGGCAGGGGCGGAAGGTGGGGAAATGACCGTGTGAGGAGACCGCTGAAATGTGCTGGTGTTGCTGGCAAGCCTTGCTGACAGACCCTGCCGACCCTGGGAAAGGATCTGCACTTGTCTGAATTCCAGGCTCAAACATCTGGGTGGGAAAAACCAGGTTCGTTACTGGAGGAGCTGAGAACCAGGTTCATTCCTGGAGGAGCTGAGACGCTCCAGCTTGAATTACTTCACCTTTGCCTTTTATTTTTTTTCTTACTGCCGCTGGAGTTCTCGCATGCCACAGGAGAAATCTTTAGTCTCTAGTCATTATTTACATTTTAGCCTCTTATCTGCTGTTCTTGTTCTCTTTGGTCACAGAAGCACACTCAGGTTTGTCCTGTGCTCTCCAGGTGCCCTCCAGCCACACCAATCTGTCCACAAAAACCAGGCAGATCGATACCCTGGATAAGCTTTGGTCCAGCTCAGAAAATTGATTCCAGCTGTCCTGGCCTTACGGAAGGGTTTGGATTCAGGAGAGCCAGGAGGAGGTGTTTCAGTGCCCGAGTGCCTGCAGCGTTTTCAGCACGGGGTGGGAGGTGGGTGCACGTTCCGGACACAGAGGGAGGGCTCTGGGACAGCACTTCCCTCCTGTCAGTGACTCCCAGCCCTGCCAGGCTCAGGGCAAGCAGCTGCTCCGCCTTTCTGCCGAGCTGAGCTGCGGCGGGGGCGAGCCAGCCGCGTTCCCAAGGGCGGCTGCAGGCAGGCACCCGGGAATCCTGGCAACACACAGGGAAATTCCTGCTGCTTTCCCGTGCTGGGGAGGACGTGCCGGCCGCTCCGGGAGCGCTGGGATGTGGCTCCCCGGGAATGCAGCACATGGCCCCTGGGGCGAGCGGCCCACGGCTCGTCCCCTTCTCTCCGCACCTTGGCTGTCCCGCCCCTCTCGCTCTTGCTTTGCTGCAGGGACAGCCAGATAACCTTGACGATTTTATAACCTGAATCTCATTCCTCATTCTCCTTTGCTCCTGGCAATGTACCAATTATTAATTAACAGGCAAATGCTAGAGAAAAGGCCAATGTACATAGCTCACTTCCATTGATGTAAACACAGCAGTTCCCAGGTCAGGTTTTATTACAGTGAACACAAATACTGTGAATAAATAGCCTGAGGGAGAAGACAAAAAACCCAAAAAAATCAAACAAAAAACCCCAACCCAACCCAACCAAACCAAAAACAAAACCCCAGAAACTATTTTGAACTTGATAAAAAATGAGAATTGAATTTTTTTTTTAAGATTCTATTTTCTGGCTGTTGTGCATGCCACGCTACCTATGGAAAAACTCGGGCAACAAGAATTTGTGTCACCACGCGATGTGACACCCATGCCCTGAAACTTCCCAGTACCCAGCTCCTGGGAAATGCTTGGTGCTCTGCAACTCCCTGACAAGGGCTGTACATTGCATCTCATCATTTGCATCATGATGCTGAGTAAAAGTGGTGCTTTTGAATAGGCAGGCAAAAATATTATCCCAGATTCAGACCAAATTAAAGCTGCTTCAGTCAAAACGATTTGCTCTCTTCCTCAGGAGAGAGGAAAAAAAAAAAGTTGCAATGATTTACTGCTGTGTCTGTCACAAAACTTGGCTTTACAGACCTGAAACATGAAAACCCTGCTTCTTCCATGGAAGCAAACTGCACACCAAATTTGAGCACACATTTCCCAGGCCTCCCTCGGTTTCACCCCAGCACAAGCAGCCACCCAGGAGAGGTTGCACATCTGTGCTGAGGTGTGGTCCCTGCTGTCCTGCTCCACCCAGGACCTGCCAATTGGCAGCACCAGGTAAGAACCATCCTGGGGCTGAGGACTTGGTGTGATGCATGGATTTGGATCCAGGGAAGGCTGAGTGGCCTGCTTGGGAGAGCAGGGCTGCAAGGGGAGCCCCCAGCCTCACCTCCCCTGGCGTTTTCAGGGCACAGCTGCTCTGAGCACAGCAGGGCCATCCCAGTCCGGCGGTGCTTTGAAACCTGCTGTGGGCGATGCCAGTGTTGGTTCTAGGTATTTTCCTGCTTTCAGACAACTGCTGAGGCCTGGGTGCTGAGCGGATCAAGGAATACTTTTGGATTAAAACACCTCCCCCGTGAAGGCCTCCAAAGGCAGCCCCGTGACCAGCTCTGATTACAGAGGAGCAGGGTGTGGGACTGGGAGGAGGGAGAAATGTCCTTCCCCCAAAGGCAGCAGGCCATTCCAGCATTGACCAACCCTTTTAGCTTCAACGTGTTTTTCCAGGCTCCTTAGCACCCAGTGTCACGGGATGCACTACTCTAGTTTAGATTTTTGGGTTTTTGTTTTTGTTTTTTTTTTACAGTTGATCTCAAAACAGATCATTATGAAATCTCCTGTGCAGTGGAGCCAAGCTCCTGGCTGCCAGACACTCAATTCTCCTTTCAAACCCTTGTGTTATTTAATAGACAATGATGTTTGCCAATTTAGGATAATTCCTCCCTTTGCTGTAATCTTCCTGCTCTGATGAAAAGGACAGCTTTACTCAAACGTGAAGTACATATATAAATATTTGAAGAGGGAGAAAATATGCAACATCTCTACCAATGCACTGTGAATGGGGATGTTTCTTCCAGACTCCCAAGCGAAGGTTTTAGAGCAGCTCCAAGAGACTTGCAGCAGGTTTCCTATTGGCACCCAGAATTTAACACACAGAGTATGGGGAGCTGGGGATGTGCAGTGGGTACTGGTGCTGTTTCCCAAACTGGCTGTGTTTAGGGCTGTGCACAACAGCTGTTGAATTGTGGTGAAAATGAGTGCTGTAAAATGGAAGTGAATAACCTGTGCTTTCATGGATCACAGAGACATACTTACCCCTCCCTTTGCAATGAAAACTATTTTTAAGGGATCGTGCCAGGTGACATTGAGACAATTCCTTTGGTCGGGCCTCTCCTTATACTGGATTGAGAATGCAGGTGCTAAAAATAGAAACAAATGGCATGTGTTCATTTTCATCCCGTGTAGGATGAAAAGGTGAGAGCTTCACAGTCTGTGGGAATTGTAAATCCGTCTGCTGGTTGCTATTGATCTGTTCACGACAAGATGTGCCCTCTTTGCTGCAGCAGCACACATTTCTATGTTTTATTCCAGTAAGCATCCTGGCTTCCTGAGAGTTTCCTTTGGCCTGCCTGCACAGGGATGTCTGGCTCGCGTTTGTAAGCTCACCAGCGTAGCAAGTAAGCAAACAACAACAGCAAAAGAGATTACTAATGAATGACTCATGCATGATTTAGCATCAGCACTGAAAGGAAATTCTCAAAAACTTTTTCTCTTAGGGAAGCCTTGACAGCTTAAACCACCTCTTTGCTTCTCCCTCCTGGGCTCAGTAACAGAAGCTCCGAAGACTTCCACGGAAAGCTGAGCCAGGTACGAAGAACAATGTTTCTTTCAAAGGAGAAACATTAAAAACTTACGCGGCACGCCATTGCTCGGCGCAGCTCTGGGGTTTTGCCCTTTTGCTCGATGCCGTGTGGGAAAAAATCACGAGGGGAAAACTGTCCGAAGGGAATGGCCGGGGACAGACGGACACCGCGCAGCAGAGCTGGCTCGGGGCCGGTGTCACCGGGGCGGGTGTCACCGGGCCGGGTGTCACCGGGGCGGTGTCACCGGGGCCGGTGTCACCGGGGCGGGTGTCACCGGGCCGGGTGTCACCGGGGCCGGTGTCACCGGGGCGGGTGTCACCGGGGCCGGGTGTCACCGGGGCGGGTGTCACCGGGCCGGGTGTCACCGGGGCCGGTGTCACCGGGGCGGGTGTCACCGGGCCGGTGTCACCGGGCTGGGTGTCACCGGGCTGGGTGTCACCGGGGTGGGTGTCACCGGGGCCACCCCCAGGCGGAGGGTGCCCCGTGTGGGGCCGTTCCCGCAGGGAGCGGGCAGCACCCGGCCCCGCTGGAAGGCAACGCAGCGCTGTCTGCCCCCTTCCCCTCGCTCCTCCGACAACACAAACAGCCTTTCCGAGGTAAACTGCTCCCAGTCCTCCAGCCCGGGCCGGGGGGCGGCCCCCGGCACGGCGGGACAAGGCCGCGTCCGTCCGCCCGCGCGGGCTCCTCAGGGGCGCGGCGCGCGCCAACCGCAGGGCCGGCCCCGGCGCGCGGGCCCCGCCCCGCCCCGCCCCGCCCGGCCGCGCGCGCCGCCCGCTCCGCCAATCCGCGGCGCCGGCGCCGGCCCGGGGGGCGGGGCCCGGCGCGCGCCGCTCAGCGCCTCGCCCCCGCCCCCTGCGGCGCGCGGCGGCGGGCGGGGCGCGCGCGGCTCCGCCACAGGGCAACAAGTGAGCGGCGCTCCCCGCCCGCCGCCGCGGCCCCGCCAACACAGCGGCGGGGTGCGCCCGCGGCCACGGGGAACGAGCCCTTCCGCCGCCGCCCCCGCGGAACGAGCCCTTCCGCGGCCGCCCCCGCATCGCCCTCCGGTGCGGAGCCCCCGCCCGCTGCGCGGGCCGGCGGAGCCGCCAGGGCCGAGGTGCGGCGGCAGGCCGGGAGCGGGCGGGTGGGAGCCCGCGGCGAGGGCAGCCCGCGGCCGGACAAAGCATGGTGGAGGCGGAGGCGGCGGCAGCGAGAACCCCGGCGGAGCCCCGCGGCAGCCTGGCAAGGTACGGGCGGGGATCGGTGCTGCCGGAGCGGCTGACGAGGGACGGCGGGCGGAAAAACCCCGGTTTTAAACTTGATTGTTGCCTCCCTTGCTTTTTGCAGGTCGTGCGGTTTTCCTGCCCCGTCGCCTCTCGCTTATTTGCGTGGTGACCGCAGTGAGCTGGCGGCGCGGGGGGCAAGCGGCCGGAGCCGTGGATGTGGGTTGTTTTAGAGCTGGTTTTTAGGGCTGGGTTTTAGGGCTGGTTTTTAGGGCTGGGCTTTTCCTGCTCCCCGACTGGGAGGCGCCGGGCGGCGGCGGGGTGGGGTCACCGCAGGCGGAGTGCCTGCCCCCTGCCCCGGCGGCCGCACATGTTGCGGTGCGAGCACGGCGGGCAGAGGCGCAGTCCGCCGGGCAGGGATGAAACTCAGGCCGGCTCAGCGCACCGTATGTTCGTCCTCGCTTCTTGCGTTCTTTTACCGTTTTGTTTCTGTCCGTTTAGCCGTGGGGAGGCGGCGGTGGTGCTGCCGTGAGGTTTCTCCGGGGAAAGCCGGAGCCGTGGGGCCGCGGCAGCGCCGGGAGCTGCTGCAGTCCGCTCCTTGGCCGGAGGGGAGGGACACAGGGTGGCGGTGGCGGAGCGGGGACATTCGCAGCGCTCCTGGGTCACCTCATTAACCCGCTGCCAGGAGTTGATTATTAACCCCCGCGTCGAGATTCTAGACCGTGCTGAGGCGGTGACACTGAAGCGTAGGCTTTGCTGGACCTGAAAGGGGGAGAAAGCGGTATTTTTGCTGGAGTTCGCCTGAATATACGTGCTCCTTCACGAGATGATGCTTTTCCCTTCAAACTTCCCGACACATCCTCTGCCCCGTCAGGAGGGGGCTTCAGGTGACTCACAGGGATTGTGGCTAAACTGCAGCTCGCGATTCATTAGTCATCCTGCAAAAATTTGTGGTGAAAGTTACTTGAGTAACCCTTTAATCCGACTTCCAGAATGCTCACTGCTGTTGGGGTTGATTATTAAATACTCATCATTAGTTTTAACTACGTAAAATAAGAGCTTGCATGGTTTGGTTGTTGGTTTGTTTTTGGTTTTTTTCCCTTTTGGGGTTTTCTTCTCTCTCTCCCCCTTTTTTTTTACTATATTTTGGACAGAAAGACTTGGTTTGGGCACAGAAGAAGTTTAGTCTGGCCGTGGAAAGATCCGTGTGCAGAATTACACGCTAGACATGACCTCTGCGAATTACTGAGGAAACATGATTACAGCGCACCGTCTTTAAAAGAGAGAGCCCAGAATCCGGTTCTCTCCCCAAGCTGCCCAAAGCGGTTTCGGGTTCTTCTTGCAGTTCCGCTTTGGCGACGAGCTCCGGGGCTGTGACCGAGGGCGGGGGCGGCAGATGGCACTCGGCCGAGTGGCACGCTCGGGGCTCGGACGGAGAGCCCAGGCTGCTGGCAGAGGCTGCCCTGCCGCTCGGGAGCCGGCCGTGATGCCTGACGAACCGGCGGAGGAGTTCAGTGAGCGCTGAGTTGTTACGAAATGCGTGGAGGAAACGAAACGGAGAATCAGCTTTTCTCATTCGGCGGATTTAATTTGTAATGGTTTGGGGGGGTTTTTGTTGGTTGTTTGTTTTTGGTTTTTTTTTTTTTTTTTCCTTCCTGGGGCTGTAAACAACTCGAGAAGATAGATATCTTTAAAAAAACAATACTGCCATGGAGATGGATTAAAATACAGAATGTTTATCTTGTACCTAAAAATGTAATGTTGTCAGAGAGAGTCAAAATGTTTTGGCTTAAAAGAAGCCCTGGTTTTGCTGCTTGCTTTGAACGTGTGACTTGCTACAGATGATGTTGTGCAGTACCGAGCTGTTTGGCTGTAGGGAACCTATGGGTAGAGCATAAAAAATAGAATGTATTTAAAGTAATTTTGTCACCTGTAAAGTGATTTTGCTTGGATTTGTGCTCATTTCTTTTCTTTTTTCCTCACGGTGAGGAAAATGCAGCGAGGTAGCACTGCTGAAGGGAATTGTTTTTGAAGGTCATGCTTTAGATGGCTGGGAGTGCTAGCTGGCTGGCTGATGCCCTGTTTTGTAATAGGTAAAACTCACTAATCTCCCCAGAGATTGCTCCTAACGAGCACCGTGTCACTGGTAGTCAAAAATTTATTGTTGTTGCCTGGAAGCTGCTCCTGAAATTTTTTCACTACTTGTGGGTAATGAAGACGCTGCTGAGGAGATCAGTGGAGCAATGGTGTTTGCTCAGAGAAAAAGCAGTGCTTGATGAGAAATGAGAGTGGATAAAGTGGTGTCATAGTCTGTGTTGGCAAATCTGGGCAATTGTCTGTATGAATAAGTCACAGAATATATGGGGGGTGGGGGGGGGGAGCAGGATTTGAGTCTTCATCTTCCTGCCTACCCTGGCAAAGATTCCTTGGAGAACCAAGTCTTTCGGAGGAGTGCTGCTCCATGGTGACTTGTGTGTGCTGAGACCCTGAGGAATTGTCATTTTACTGCCACCTGGTGCAGCTATGTTCAATCCAGCTCTGACAGTGATTTTTTCCTGCTGGCTGTGCAAATCCACTTGAGGTGGGGAAAAATGGTAGTGACAAAAGGCTGTGTCAGTGCTGATCATGTTTGAAACATAGGATGTGATCGTGTCTCCTACCACTGCCAATATTGTCATTATCACAGCAGTCAGGGCTGGCTTGTCAATGATCAAAGCCTGTATGGTCATATTGCTCCAAATTAACCAGAGGACAGGAAAAAGATTGAGCAGTCCCAATTCAAATCCTCAACCAAGCTCTTTGGTAACTTGTGCTTTCTCCACAGATCACTGAATTTTTGACAAATGTGTCAGCTGATCTTGCAAAATCTTGACTTCAGGCGGGTTGTGAAACTTCTCAGAGTTGGTGACTTGGTGGACTTTTCCTGTGTGCTGTCAGACTTTTGCCTTGTGCTGCCAAGTGACTAAAGCAGCTCTGTCAGAAATACACCGAAGGCTGACATTCCAGATCTTAATCTTTTACTGGATTTGGTTACATTTCCTGTGGTAATAAAACCGTAAACTCCTTATTTTTGAAGAATTTGCAGTCTGCATAGTAGAGGCTGGGAGATTTCTTGTAGGTAGAGCTTAAAGTGTATAATTCTTAGACTTGCCAAGAATAGGCCAAAGGCAGGGTGAATGGAAGATATTGGCAAGAGTGAACTTATTGTGGGAACGAGTTTTCTGTAAAAAGCACAGAATGTAGGAAAAAACCACACATTTCATCAAAATAATGAGAATTTTAACTTCTGGTCTTCATGTTAATGTTTCTTGAAGGTCATTAGGATTGATTTCCTTCCAAAAGATTTTGAAACTATCTTTGTCCTACTCACAGATTGTTGGTTTGGGATTTTTTCTATAGTAGATCTCTTTATTACATTTTCTATAGTATATCTCTTTATTACATTTTCTATTTTCTTAGTATATCTCTTTATTATATTTTCTGTAACTACGGTAGAAATGCAACAGTAATTTTGAAGCAAGTAGGCATCCATTTACTTTTTAAATTCAAACTTTAATTTTTTTTTTTTTTTCAGGTATATGCATTATTAGTCCCTAATAAATTTTTAAGCAGAATGTTAGCAGTTAATTTAGGAAGAAGGTTGGGTGCATGTGCAGTCACGGGGTTAGTGTTTGGTGTTTCACAGGCTGTGTTCATGTGAGTGCTTATTATGGAATCATAGTTGGAACAGGGATCCCCACAGGGATCGTTGGAGTCCACCCCCTGGCCCTGCACGGGACAGTGCTTCATGTGGTTGGAGAAGAATTTGTGCCTGTGAGTGCGGGTCACAAAAATTCCCGATGTGTTATCCCTGTTCTGCCTTGTTCTGACCCCACAGAGATATATTTAGATGGCTTTATCAGTTCACAGTCGGATCCCTTTATGTAAGCAAGCACCCTTCAAGTGCTTACAAAACAGCAGAAAAGAGAAAATATGATGATGATGGTAGAATGAAATATAGCCTCTTCCTGTCGTTTTACTATAGAGTGAAGAAGTCACCAACCAAAAGTTGTGGAATAAGTGTCAGACCTGTCCAGTCACATTTTGCTTTTACATAAGAAGCACTGACAGGTACCTGGGATTCCATCCTGCTCTTTGCCTGTGTCTTTCTCGCTGATTTCTTTGAGCCTTTTAGGATTTCAAAAGCCTCCCCCAGTTTCCAGATCACATAAAACCCAGTGAAAAGACTGGATCATTAAACTGTCTTGTGATGAACTGTGCAGAAGAATGAATTGGTGCCTCGTGAGAGGCAATTGGTATTTAAGTAAGGAGAAGAATCCCTGTGTGGGATGGGTGGGGTGCTGAGAGTCTTCATGGGAGAATTGATGAAACAGTTTCCATCAGCAGTTAGTTAAGAAAGCTTTTGTTGTTTGGGAGAAATACAACAGTAAGGATTGAAAAGCATTTAATTTGGAGACAGTTTTGTTCATCTTTGAAATGTAGCAGCTGCTTAATCTTAAACACATCCAGAAGAGTTAGTCTTGAGAGCGAATTAGCCAAATCCCTTCAATTGTAAACCAGCTATCTGGATCAAATGAGCAAGAAATCTTGACTTGTGGCTGGTCATGACTAATTTTCCCCTAGAAGGGTAATTCCCCGAGGCGCAGTGGTTTATGAGGCGGCAGACGCGCTGCCGGTATGGGATTGACAGGCGAGTTTCGGGCGTTGTTGGAGGTTGGTGTACGTGCTGTGGATGCGCGGGCTCCTGCCCGGTTCGCTGCCGGGAGCATCGTGCTGTATCCCGGGGCAGCTGGGAGGCTGGGCCGGTGTCTGTGCTCCCCGCCTTGTGCTGCTCTGTTTGTGCAGCTGGCTCGCGGGCCGAATTGAGGAACTAGGCGAGTTGAGAAATAACCTTTTCCGTCTGCTTGTCTTCACGGTTATACGCAGCGTAGCACAGTGAGCCACGTGAAAACGGGAATTCAGGGCCTGAGAAAGGGTGGAATTCTTTTAACTGAGTTTAAGGAGTGCTGCTGCTGAATGCCCAA